GAACAGCTACTGCTTACAGGTCTGATCTGGCACTGTTTACCCACAGGATTATGTTTCTGTGTGTAATAACGATGACAGCAGCAGTCACAAACTAACTGCCAGTTTTCTTTTCTTTTCTTTTCTTTTTTTTTTTTTACTCTAACTCTTCACCTGGTATCGCCTTGGCCCAGCGCACCACAGTGACCAGCTGCCTCTCCCCGAGCTCGTTCAGGCTGGTCAGCAGGGACGCGGGGCTGTCGGGCAGGGCCGGATCGTGGCCAGCGTTGACCACAGCTGGCTCTATGTCGTGCAGGACAGTGAGCAGGGAGAGGCAGGAGCGGAGGCTCGGCGGTATGCTCGGAGTCAGGCTCTGGGAGGTCACTGATCATACAGAGAGGAACACAAATAATAATAAGAAAAAAAATCTAATCACAAACGTATGTTCAATATTAAGTTAGCCTGATACGTGAGCTCGTCAGAAACTAATCCTCACCACCTTGAGCCCTGGCAGCTGCACTTCCGGGCTCAGAGATAACATCTTTCTTTCCAGACCTCACTCTTCTATCTCCAGGGCCCCAGGCAGCAGGAGCTGGCTCCTCATCCCCGTTTCTCGTCTGTGCTGCCCCCTTCAGTCGACGACCTGAAAGTCACCACCCGAAATGTGTTTAAATGTAAAAGACGTGGATGAAGGAGACAAGAAGGTTCTGTAGTTCTAACAACTGGGAGAAAACCTAAATGGACCGCTCGCCCCGGGAGACGGTCCTCCATCGTAACCATGTGGAAAAGGTTTTGATCATTGGCTGCTGCACCCCAGAAAAAAAAAGGACTCTTCTGGCCTTTGCTAAAATGCATTTGTCACACTGTGTTTAAGCTAGAACATTTGATTAGAAAGTTCTGATCCATTGCATGTACGGTATCTGACCACTCCGACCCCGGGGTTTGGTTTTAGTTTTTTTTTTCTTTTCCAAGGACACGCCACACTCTCCCCGCCTCTCCTTCAGTTCGCACCTTTACTTTCTCACCTTTTAGACTCATTCCTGACATGAAGCACCTCTTCAGACGACAGGACGCGCAGTTCTTGCGCCGCAGTTTGTCGATGGTGCAGTCGTTCCGGCTGGCGCACAGGTGGTTCTGCTTACCTGGAGGCAGAGAGAGAGAGAGAGAGAGGCAGAGAGGCAGAGAGAGAGAGGGGGGGAGGGAGGGGGAGAGAGAGAGGGGGAGAGAAATCCTAGCGGATGAAGGGAATGGTTTTAACAATGCCGAGGCCTTCGCTCATAGCAACGACATGTGGGTGTTTACTGATAACAAACAACTCGCCCCGGTAATGTCAGGTCACTGCGCCCTGTCTGCATGAGTGCGCGAGTGGGTGTAAGAAATTAAATCAGCGGACGCGTAATTGGGGGCGCGCAGTGCAGAGAGAGAGCGCGCGCGCGCGTGTGTGTGTGTGTGTGTGTGTCACACCCACCTGCAGCAGCCCTCTTGAAGAAGACTTTGCAGCTGCCACAGGTGACTGCTCCATAGTGACAACCCGAGGCATCGTCCCCGCACACCTGACACACTCTCCTGTCTGACAGGTACACACCTGGAAATAAATCCTCGTGCCTGCACACACACACACACACAAACACACACACGATTCAACATGATTTTCAAAGAAGACAAGTTAAAGTTAGGGTTAGTAACAGTAACTAGTTCCCGTTGTTATGGATTGGTGACTAATTCCCTCTAATCCAATTAAACGCACACACACACACACAGAGATTTTCCATAACAGGAAGTGACACCTGTTTACGGCCAGTCCTACAAACGAGCCAATATTGGATGAATAGGTTGAGTGTGTATCGATAGGAGATGAGGAGATGAAGAAAGAAGATGAGGAGATGAGGAGATGAGGAGATGAAGAGATGAAGAGATGAGACCAGGTGTGAACAACATCTGCTGTTTGTCCTGACGCCCATGTATGAAGACGGTTTTTTTTTCTTTTTTTTTCTTCTGTACGTAGTCACAACAGCGATGCTTCGGGAGAAGGAAAAAAAAAAAAAAAAAAAAAAAAACAACAAACCCCTAGTGATACGATGACATTTGACTGAGTCTGCTGAGACAGCGGGCCAAGGCCAGTCACAGCACACACGTGAGAGCACGGGTGGAAAACTGATGGAGACGCTGCTGCATTCGAGGCGGCACCGGACACACCATCAATCACATTTACTGTTATATATATATTTATATATATTTGTTTTTACTGTGATGGTGATGACAAGCTGCAACTCCATCACAACCAGAATCTGTGTTTGACTGAAGTACATTCACAAACACACGAGGTGAACTGATGAAGGATGAAATAAAATATTTAAAAAAATAAAAATAAAAAAAAATCTCTATGACATGAGATAATATATAGATAGAAAAGGGACTTAATGTGAATAAAGCCCTGTGTGGTGTGGTCCTCGGGGAGGGAGTGAAAGGGAGCGAAGGAGGG